TTGGCTTGAAAGGAAAAGCTGAAGTGTTACTGGAAACATTTAAATCTGTTGGCTAAGTTGTTGCTCTGAACAAAAATTACATTTTTTAACCCACATATAGCTTAATTACAAAGCCAGATACATATCAGTGATTTTATGTGTACCAATATAGTAATTTGATAATTCTTTGGTTTTCTAGAATGCATCTTTGAAATATATAAAAATTAAGTTGTCATCCCTCTCCACTTGAAAGACTATATGAGGCTAAGCAAGTGCAATGCAAGAGTGCAAATCAATTTCATAATGTTGTACATACTAGAAATAATTGGTTTTTAAATATTTTTTTATTTATTGTTCTATATTTTAAGAATAATTACTAAAACTTAAGCATTTATGAGTAAATAGTAATAATATATACATACATACATGTTCATAAGCACTTACATAATTTGTACGCTTATACTGCTAAATTCTAACCACCACAGGAGGATAACTAACATCCATATACTTACTAAGTTTACTAGACTAGCCCAGACTTTGTACAGAGCCATATTGTAAACATTTTCTTGTACTTTTATTACTTAAGATAATTCTCGTTGCAACCACTCTACTGTCAACAAGTCGATAAATCCTCTCCCATTGTGTTCTCAGAGCCAGAATTACAATAAACTCTGTGGGAATCTTGGCTTATTGCTATTGACGGTATTGTATTACAGTGTCACAAACAGCCTAACGACAGGAGCAGTGATTCATTGCTTTATGTTTAGCAGGTTTGTATTTAAGTTACTAACAGTAAATTAAACATAGGAAATAGATGTGAAAAGATTAGAAGAAACTCTCAGGAGAAGTATTTTGGAACTTAGTTGCCACTACTAAAATGATAGAAATGTACTAATTTTATTTCACTTTTGTTTTTTTATGGTAGTTACAAGTTTGGTCAAATAATGTGTATAGAGTTAGGGTAGAGAAAATAACAGATAAAATAAAGTTTTAGTGAAAAAGAACACTTGATATTTATTTACAAAGTTTTAGATATTATTCAAACAAAATTTTCATAATTTTCAGATGGAGAAAAGGATTCTTAATCTTAAATTGAAATCACTTTACACTTAAAGCAGTCAATACTGACTCCATATATTCATGCACAAATCTTTGGTAAAAATACTTTAAATTTAAAAATTCAAATGTATCTGAAAACTTGAATTTCATAAAAATACACAAAACATGTTAAAAGCTATAGTAAGAAAACTGATGGTAACTTTGGGGACTTTTATTGGTTTAATCCACTGAATAAGTAGGTAAAAGGGTTAAGCCATTCCTACTCTCTGTAAGAAGAAAATGACATCTGTGACAATTTATGAGACATGTTACTGTTTAAACTGTGTCAGTTATAAGCAGTAATTTTCCTACAGTACAACCAAATACTAATGTTTACGAAAATACAAGATAACAAACAAAAAAATAAAATACCTGAACTATCCAGAAAAACATAACAATGGTAGATTCAGTACAAAAAAGTCAACATACTGAACATAATATATGATGCGTCTAAAACATTAACACACTTACTTTAACTCTTTCAGCACGAGCTCAGTCCTTGGGCCTAATCTCGTAACCATTCTGTGCTTTTTATAGTTTTCATGCTATAACTTAAATTATTAAGTGTATGTTCACAAAATTTAGCAGTTTGTCAGTAAACATTACAGTGCTTTCATACACAAAATATCAAATCTTTTTATTAAGTCTTAAGGTTTGTTAAGCAACGTTTTTCTCATGCCTTTTTTTCTTTTCGCATGTTGCCTATCCAACATGCAAAGTAATTTTCATTTTATGCATCAGAAAATTTTCAAATTTCACAAGCGAAATCCATATAATGTCCAGATAGTTATCAAATGTTTCTTAAGAAAAAACTTTATATTTTATCTGTTATTTTCACTAACGATTCTCTGTATGGGTTTGGTTCATTTGATTGATCTTGTAACCACCATAAAATATTTTGAAATAAAGATAAATTATGCCTCT